TTTACGTATCGGCAATTTCGCCCACTTTGAGCTCTATTTTTGGCCAATTCCAGTGTACTAGTCGACAAAAATCACATGTATTTCGCTAGAACTCCATTTTTTCTATCGATTAAGTACAAGAAAACACCCATTTACCGATTTCAACTATCCAAAAGAGTGGTCAGAAATTGGCAATTTTGCCAATTTCATACAAATTTCAGAAGATGCCAATTTCCAAATAGGGTCCAGAATAAACAAGACAGACATTCCTGGCACTAAAATAACATTTTCTCTGTTCATTAGTCATGTCCCCAGGCCCCTTTTACATCTCTTTTGCTTTCCACTTTGAATTTTTATTCTCACAAAAAATAGAAGATTTACTGTTATGCAGACCACTTCATTAGTGTACAAATGATGTAGAAATGGTATAAATAATATCAGCACACTTGTGAAAGAATATTAGACTCACCAGTTGACATGTATTGGACGCTTGGTATGATTTCAAGGTACTTTTCATTATGAAAACAATCAAAATCATCTCAATTTCTGCATTGACTTCTATTCTATAAAATGAGACCAGGAAAACTAAAATAAAATTATAAATACTCTACAAAAATACACTGTAAAGTCGCTGTTTTAAACCAAAAACACGGTCAGAGTGTTTTTTCTCATTATGCACTGTGTGCTGCAGGATTTTTTTTATACTGTGCACACTGCCCACATGACCCATTCTTTCATACGTAAGCCTACCAGCTTTCTCTCGCTAGATTTGAAGGCGCTAGAATTTAGGCATACTAGTACGTCAATAACCCTGGTGCGTAAGCTGTACTAGTACGTCGGAAACCCTGAAAGGGTTAAAGATAGCCCTTTCACTGTCACCCTCATAGATCTATGTTATTGTGCCCAATGTTGCTTACATAGAGCTATGTATAAATTCTAGTGGATTCTCTCACTCTCAGCAACTGTGTGAGGGTTGTAAAAGAGGTTAGAGTGGTTGGGGTGGGGGTTGGGGTATTCACAGGAGGGGCTAGAGAGATTAGGATGGTGGAGGGGTGGGGTCAGTGTGATGGTGGTGAGGATTTGGGGACTGCTGGCAAGGGAGTTGGAAACTGAATGGTGGAGAGAGAGAAAGATGATAATATATACCTGGAAAGTACTTGAGGGCCTGTTCCTAAATCTGCACACTGCCATAACATACTGGAGTAAGAGGTATGGGAGGAAGTGCAAAATAAACCCATTGAAAAGATGAGGTGTGGTGAGCACAATAAAGGAACACTGTATCAACATCTATGGCCACAGATTATTCACCACCTTACAAGAAGATAAAAGAAACACTGCTTGAAACTGGACAAATATCTTCATCAGGTGCCAGATTAACCAGGCTGTGATGGATATGTAGGGAAGTGGGCCACCAGCAGCAATAGCCTGGTTGACCAGGCAAGCACCAAATGAGCCTGGACCATGGCTGGGCTCTGGGAGTAGACTCTCGGAACTCATAAGAGGTATATGAGAGGTATGGAGGGGTGGGAGGCAGGAGCTGGAGGTGGAGGATGCTGAACAGGGAAGGGGTGGAGGCTGGAAGCAATGAAGTGGTGTGATAGTGATGGTGTGAGTGTAGGTGTTAGTGGCCCAGTGTGGGTGGTGTGGATGATGGATAACTGGGTGGGTGAGTGTGCAGTAGGTGGTGTGGGTAAAAAAGAAATTTGGCAAAATAACTGCTTAAAATGCTGGTGTTCGCTGCACCAACTAGTTGTGGCATTCTGAAGCTCACTTGTAACTCAGATTTTGGCTTGTAACTCGGAGCAAAAAATCAATTGAGCGACGGCTCATATCTTGAAAAACTCGTATGTTGGGGCACTCATAAGTCGAGGTTCCACTGTACATCTTTTTGTGTAACTGAAAGTGGCTTGGGATTAGAGCTGATTGCGAACACAGGAAGCAAAACATTACAGAAATAACTCGCACATGCGAGACAAACTTATGACATTGTTGCATTTTGACTTGGACCATTAATTAGTTGGACTTAAATGTCATCGTAAGTTTCAGTCTTCTATGTATGGGTTATTTGTGTGTTGTTCCAGTTCTTTATTCATCAAAACATTGCAAGATATGAGGAAGTTATTAGGTAAATGATGGAACTGCATCTTGGTAACTGGTACACAAGCACCATTCAGTGATATTCTGCAGGCAAACATGACAAATGTCTGTGGTAGTGTGTGTGGAACATGCAAACATGACAAATGTTCATAGTATAGTGCATGGAACATGAAAACATGCACCCAAGTTCAGTGTAGGCATTGGTGCTGGTGAGGTGCAGATGTTTCATGTAATGACATGACATTTTGGTTGCATGACAAACATAATGAGCATGAACCAAAAGAAACAGGAAAGATGAGCATGAACTGAAACAGGAAAGATGAGCATGAACTGAAAGAAACAGGAAAGATGAGCATGAACTGAAACAGGAAAGATGAGCATGAACTGAAAGAAACAGGAAAGATGAGCATCAACTGAAAGAAACAGGAAAGATGAGCATCAACTGAAAGAAACAGGAAAGATGAGCATCAACTGAAAGAAACAGGAAAGATGAACATCAACTGAAAAAAACATGAAAGACGAGCATCAACTGAAAGAAACAGGAAAGATGAGCATCAACTGAAAGAAACAGGAAAGATGAGCATCAACTGAAAGAAACAGGAAAGATGAGCATCAACTGAAAGAAACAGGAAAGATGAGCATCAACTGAAAGAAACAGGAGATGAGCATCAACTGAAAGAAACAGGAAAGATGAGCACCAACTGAAAGAAACAGGAAAGATGAGCATCAACTGAAAGAAACAGGAAAGATGAGCATCAACTGAAAGAAACAGGAAAGATGAGCATCAACTGAAAGAAACAGGAAAGATGAATAGGGAAATAAATGAACCCACTGTAAGACCAACTACTGTGATTGACTACACAAATAATATGCATTGTGGACAAAGGTGACATGCAGATTGGGTTTGTTGATTATATCCAGAGGGGCTACAAGTGGTACATGAAGTTTTTCTTTCTTCTTGTTGACATTACATTGGTGATTGCTTAAAGTATGCACCAAGTCAAGAGTGGAAATGGACCACCATGCTCCTTTTTCTGTTTGTCTTTAGACAAATAATGAAAAAATACCAGGGCACACCAGCAACACAGCACATGCTTCACCATTCTGATCAAATACCCTCTTGTTTGAGGTATGGTAATCACTTTCTAACTACACTTTCTACTACAGCCAAGAATAAATGAGCTCAAAAGTGATGTTATGCCAGTGCACTCATGTCTTGGCACCCAGTAAAGCAGTGGTTCCCAACCTTTTCTTACTCCCGCACCCCTATAAAATTTTTGCTCTAACCTCGCACCCCCTACAATTTAAACTTTGTTCAAGGATAAAGGATGTGGAATCATACTAAATTTTATCAAAAGAAGATATTTATTTCACTTTCTAATATAATATGTGAACAAAAATCAGACTTACAGAAAAGAAACATATCACAGAATGATATTTGAATACACCTTACAAAAATAATAACTCTTGGTTTACCAGGCGAGCACCAGACGAGCCTGGCCCATGGCCGGGCTCAGAGAGTAGATATACTCTCGAAATTCTTCAAAGGTATATCTTCAAAGGTCAAAGGTATATACAAAAAAAGTAAAATCAAGAACTAGCTTTCAAACCTTTAGAAAGGAATTTAATTTTTTTAATATGTAAAAAATCAAACATATGGACAAGAAAGGATGTCTCCGATTAACATTCGAGTATATCATACAAAAAATAGTTACTTTCTTTAAATATGTACAAGATAATAAAATCAAAAGGCTGACTTCCAAAAAGTTTGCGTATCCATTTTAATTCAATGACTCTTTTGTTCCTGTTTCTTGCTTGAGAATTTTGGTAATTGAGATAATGGTAATTTTACTATGATTATTGAATATTAATAAGTAATAAATGAATTAATTTCCTGTTATTAAGACGGACGCTTCTCGCACCCCCTGGAATGATGTCTTGCACCCCCAGGGGGTGCGAGCACCCCTGGTTGGGAACTCCTGCAGTAAAGTACAGGGATACACATTTTATGTTGAAGGAGAGTAAAAATGCTCTTTTAGGGACTTGTACCGATTGCAGCAGTTCTAGGAACATGATCATTGCCTGTATATACTGTATATGTTCTGTACATGTTAGAACAGTATGAAAGTGAAGCAAATAGATACCTGTGTATATACATTTTTGTGTAATATTGTTTTGCAAATAATATACTGTTAGTGCAACTATTGTGTTGTATACCAGAAACTTGAAATTATTAAAACTCAAAAAATGCCAGAAAAAAGTGGAAGAAAGTAAATATAAAATATGCAGCATGTGGTAATCACTGATACAGTGGACCCCCGCATAACGATTACCTCCGAATGCGACCAATTATGTAAGTGTATTTATGTAAGTGCGTTTGTATGTGTATGTTTGGGGGTCTGAAATGGATTAATCTACTTCACAATATTCCTTATGGGAACAAATTCGGTCAGTACTGGCACCTGAACATACTTCTGGAGTGAAAAAATATCATTAACCAGGGGTCCACTGTATTGCCATTATCAGGTTAGGGACCTGCAACTTCATTCCTTCATATCTTGGTAAGTACTGATGAGATTTTGTTTTTGTGTTATTGCATAAATTAAATTGTATTTATTCTTGAGAAGACTTAAAATCTCTACACTGACAGCCCTTATACTTTCGGGGGGATTGTGACAGTGAAAGGGTTAACAAGGGTCAACTGTATATATTTTGCATATGTTGCATCAGAATAATTGTTCTTCTTTCACGAGGAAGGATTGGTATAATTATACTTACGTAATTGCAAGGATACTGGTTTGGTCGTCAGTCATTATAATTTGCATGTACAGTAAGTGGTGTATTACTAACCAGTGATTCTTCCTTAACATTTTTATGATTGTCCTGTGAACATCCATTAATGTCATTTTTATTTTTATTTTTAGCTGGTTCAGGAGAGCAGGTTCGTGGTGGGAGAGTGTTAAGTGGTGGTTCGGGTGGAACCAGGAACGTAGCAAGCATGTATGACAGCCAGTATGACGTGTATGGGCAGCCTCGTAACCAACACCCGCCTCCGGCTCCCCCACCCCCCCAACTCTTTGAAGACACCAGTGGACAAAATTTTGCCTATGGTAACCAAGGTAATATTCATATTTATTGTACTACTACTACTACTGATAAGATTGCATATTATATTCTTCTGTAACATAGCATTTTATCTATTTTTATAATACAATGGAACTCTACTTACAAGTTTAATCCGTTCCATGACCTTGCTCGTATCCGGATTTGCTCGTTTGCAGAGTCAATTTTCCTCATTTAAATTAATTGAAATGGAATTAATCCATTCTAGTGGAACTCCAGGCGCGACAAAATACTTCAATAATTTCCCTAATATCAACTCTATGGCTTATTTATCTATCACAGTTCATCTAATATGATATAATAAAAAATATTAATAACTTAGAAACATGATATATATACTATTAGAATGAATAAAATACATGTCATTACATATGTGGCTAGTGGTGGTGACAGTGGCCATTGTTGTTGTTAGGGTTTATAGGGCCACTACAGTGGCCATTCCTGCTCCTGACTACATATGTAGAGAACCTAGGATAACCCAGAAAAGTCAGACAGAGTGACTTATAATTGTTACACTCTTAATGCTACACTTAATTGCTACACTCTTAATGCTACACATTGTCATTGGCTCTTTCTGCTTTAGTATTGTATATATAGTAGAAGTGGTACACTAGTACTGCCTGGCCAAGTCCTTAACCCTCTACCTAGTTTATTTGTTTATTTTTTTTTATTATCACACTGGCCGATTCCCACCAAGGCAGGGTGGCCCGAAAAAGAAAAACTTTCACCATCATTCACTCCATCACTGTCTTGCCAGAAGGGTGCTTTACACTACAGTTTTTAAACTGCAATATTAACACCCCTCCATGGAAATCATCCTCTTTTTCTTCTCAGCACTGTCCTTTGCACTTGCTTTCTTTGGACCTATGGTTAGAAACAAGAAATTTTGCAATATAACTGTACAAAATGTAAGGAAAACACGAGAATTCCCTCCACCACGAGTGGAGTGGACTGAGTGTTGTTTTGATACATACTGCCATCTCGTGGCGGCATTCAGAAACTCGCTTATAGTGTAGGTGTTACGGTTCGAATCTTAATCTTTAGCCAGGTTAGTGCACTCCGTAACAATACACTTCATAGAATGAGAAAATACATACTTCCAAACTTAGAAATGTAAGGCACAAATAATAGTTACTCAGTCTTTTCTAGTTTCTTTTTATTTAAAAGCTTAAATACTTCTTAGATATTCATAAATATTTTGAGGAATTGTTAAATGTTGATGAAGATAGGGAAGCTGTGATTTCGTGTATAGGGCAAGGAGGAATAACATCTTGTAGGAGTGAGGAAGAGCCAGTTGTGAGTGTGGGGGAAGTTCGTGAGGCAGTAGGTAAAATGAAAGGGGGTAAGGCAGCCGGGATTGATGGGATAAAGATAGAAATGTTAAAAGCAGGTGGGGATATAGTTTTGGAGTGGTTGGTGCAATTATTTAATAAATGTATGGAAGAGGGTAAGGTACCTAGGGATTGGCAGAGAGCATGCATAGTTCCTTTGTATAAAGGCAAAGGGGACAAAAGAGAGTGCAAAAATTATAGGGGGATAAGTCTGTTGAGTGTACCTGGTAAAGTGTATGGTAGAGTTATAATTGAAAGAATTAAGAGTAAGACGGAGAATAGGATAGCAGATGAACAAGGAGGCTTTAGGAAAGGTAGGGGGTGTGTGGACCAGGTGTTTACAGTGAAACATATAAGTGAACAGTATTTAGATAAGGCTAAAGAGGTCTTTGTGGCATTTATGGATTTGGAAAAGGCGTATGACAGGGTGGATAGGGGGGCAATGTGGCAGATGTTGCAAGTGTATGGTGTAGGAGGTAGGTTACTGAAAGCAGTGAAGAGTTTTTACGAGGATAGTGAGGCTCAAGTTAGAGTATGTAGGAAAGAGGGAAATTTTTTCCCAGTAAAAGTAGGCCTTAGACAAGGATGTGTGATGTCACCGTGGTTGTTTAATATATTTATAGATGGGGTTGTAAGAGAAGTAAATGCGAGGGTCTTGGCAAGAGGCGTGGAGTTAAAAGATAAAGAATCACACACAAAGTGGGAGTTGTCACAGCTGCTCTTTGCTGATGACACTGTGCTCTTGGGAGATTCTGAAGAGAAGTTGCAGAGATTGGTGGATGAATTTGGTAGGGTGTGCAAAAGAAGAAAATTAAAGGTGAATACAGGAAAGAGTAAGGTTATGAGGATAACAAAAAGATTAGGTGATGAAAGATTGAATATCAGATTGGAGGGAGAGAGTATGGAGGAGGTGAACGTATTCAGATATTTGGGAGTGGACGTGTCAGCGGATGGGTCTATGAAAGATGAGGTGAATCATAGAATTGATGAGGGAAAAAGAGTGAGTGGTGCACTTAGGAGTCTGTGGAGACAAAGAACTTTGTCCTTGGAGGCAAAGAGGGGAATGTATGAGAGTATAGTTTTACCAACGCTCTTATATGGGTGTGAAGCGTGGGTGATGAATGTTGCAGCGAGGAGAAGGCTGGAGGCAGTGGAGATGTCGTGTCTGAGGGCAATGTGTGGTGTGAATATAATGCAGAGAATTCGTAGTTTGGAAGTTAGGAGGAGGTGCGGGATTACCAAAACTGTTGTCCAGAGGGCTGAGGAAGGGTTGTTGAGGTGGTTCGGACATGTAGAGAGAATGGAGCGAAACAGAATGACTTCAAGAGTGTATCAGTCTGTAGTGGAAGGAAGGCGGGGTAGGGGTCGGCCTAGGAAGGGTTGGAGGGAGGGGGTAAAGGAGGTTTTGTGTGCGAGGGGCTTGGACTTCCAGCAGGCATGCGTGAGCGTGTTTGATAGGAGTGAATGGAGACAAATGGTTTTTAATACTTGACGTGCTGTTGGAGTGTGAGCAAAGTAACATTTATGAAGGGATTCAGGGAAACCGGCAGGCCGGACTTGAGTCCTGGAGATGGGAAGTACAGTGCCTGCACTCTGAAGGAGGGGTGTTAATGTTGCAGTTTAAAAACTGTAGTGTAAAGCACCCTTCTGGCAAGACAGTGATGGAGTGAATGATGGTGAAAGTTTTTCTTTTTCGGGCCACCCTGCCTTGGTGGGAATCGGCCAGTGTGATAATAAAAAAATAAAAAAATCTATTAAATATCACTTCGTCAGAAACTTCATTCACATAAGAAAACACTTAAATAGAACGTACATCATAGACTCCTTCTGGAGACTGTCAATATGGTCACTACAGTTGTTAATGATCAGAGGAATATTACTGCTTCCTCAATAATGATATTACTTGTACACGAGTATATACATTAAGAATGGACACCTTCACTGAGTAACTCCCTGGCATAAGGAATATATCACTTAAAGTTCTAAACTTGACACAGGCCGTCACATCGTAAACTGAAGGTAACAGTATATAACTGTCCGCAGACTTCACTTCAGAATAAACCTCAAGCTGGTTCAGGAGTTTCTACAACAGAATTCTCTATCCAAGTGAGAATAAGGCGGAGTACTAGAGGGGTAGCTCAGTCAATGCACACTGAGTCGGCAGAGAGAGGCGAACTGAATTAACACAGTTAATCTCTACATGACATCAACTCGCCAAAGGGTAGAGGGAAGAGTAGGCTAAGCTACCCTATAAGGACATACCTTATTTCAACCCTTAGCCAGCTGTTACCTACCTACCCAACACATTACTCAAAATACATAAATATATATATACATGTATTCACATCATATCCGGGTATATTACTAAATCAGATAATATTATAAACTAGTGGAATCTTTAATTTAGCTAATATTAAAGAAACCCCGAGTATAATATTAAGTGGATAATACATATATAAATTAATGTCATTATGACCTTGGTCATAACAGTAGGGTACAACAAAGTCTGCCATTGCAGTTTCATGTTGTCTGCCACTGTTGCTTCATGTTCTCTGCCACTGCTGCTTCATGTTGTCTGCCACTGCTACTCTTGAACATCGCCAAAGAATTGAACTTTTCTGCTACTTTGAGCTCAGTTTCAAGGTACTTTTCATCGCGAAACCAATCAAAATCATATCTATTTCTGTAGTATATCTTCCATTCTATCAAACGAGACCAGAAATATGAGAACACAACCATAAAAACTATTCGAAAATATTCTGCTAAGGGGAGGCTAATGGCTGAGGAGTGAACTCTGTTATTCATGGTCCAATTTCTTTCATTTTTGGTGTACATTAAGAAGCATCTTTCCATTATACATTGCCCAAGTTTAAATAAGATAGTCTAACAAACAACCGAGATCCATTTCCCTAGATCAAGGAACCCTTAAGGGCCGCTCGCATCTGGAAATTTCGCTCGCGTCTGGAAGCAAAAAATCGACCGAATGACTGTTCGTATCTGGAAAAACTTGCACGTGGATTCACTCGTAAGTAGAGGTTCCACTGTATTACATTTTATTTCTACTATTAATAACTTTATTACAGCAGTGAGTAACATTGACTGGCAAAACGAACTAGCAATCAACCCAGATATTCATGAATGTGTAAATAATTTAAAAAAATAAGACCCAGTACCTCTATAACTTGCATTGCCTTAAAAACACTAAACAGATCACAGCTAAGAGACTTAACAGCCCCTGGCTTACAAACAGCATCCTCAAATCTATTAATAAAAAACACCTATATAAAAAGCAGTACAGATTGGGGCTAATACCTAGGGACCAGACTAAACATTACTCATCAGTACTAACCAGCCTGATAAGGAGGTCAAAAAACTGTACAGCTTCTCCTCACTTAGTGATGTACTCATTTACCGATGCCTCGGACTTATGACGGGCTCTCTGACCAGTATTCGTACCTAAATAATGTATACATGTATTAGAGCTGATTTCCTCTATTCTGTTTATTTTAATATATGTACAGTACACACACTATAAACATTGCAAAGGTGATGTTAAAACAATATCAGAGATGGTCTACACAAACTCACTACCATTATCGTATGCTCCTCGCTTAGCGACGAATTCATTGAACCCTTTGAGGGTCGGTCACGTACATTACGTCATTGCAGCCAAGGTTGATCACGCACTTGTACGCCTAAATTCTAGCACCTTCAAATCTGGTGGAAGTAAGCTGGCAGGCCTACATATGAAAGAATGGGTCTGTGTGGTCAGTGTGCGCAGTATAAAAAAGTCCTGAAGCATGCACTGCATAATGAGAAAAAAAAACTCCGATTTTTTTTTTTGGTTTAAAACTGTGACATTCTAGTATGTTTTCTTATGGTACTTGGTCTCATTTGATAGAATGAAGGATATATTACAGAAATAATAGAGATGATTTTCATTGATTTCATGATGACAAGTACCTTGAAATTGAGCTCAAAGTAGCGAAAATGATCGATTTTTGCCAATGTTCAAGAGTAAACAAATCATGCCACGCGTCCAGTACACGTCAACTGGTGATTCTAATATTCTTTCACAAGTGCACTGATATAATTTATGCCATTTTTACAATGATGCAGTAGTACACATAACAGAAAACCCTCTAAACCTTTTAATTTCTGTGAGAATAAAAATTCAAAATGGAAAGCAAAGGTAATGTAAGAGGGGCCTAGAGACATGACTAATGAGCAGATAAAATGTTATTTTAGTGTCTTGTTTATTCTGGATCCTATTTCGAAATTGGCATCTTTTGAATTTGTGTGAAATTGCCCAAATTGCCAATTTCTGACCACTTTATTGGGTAGTTGAAATTGGTAAATGGGTGGATTCTTGTACTCAATCGATAGAACAAATAGAGTTCTAGGGAAATAGGTATGATTTTAGTCAACTGCAACATTGGAGTTGGCTGAAATTAGGGCTCAAATTGTTTGCAATCATGTCATTACGATTTCGTGAGTCATGTTGACGGCTTTGAGGGGACTTAAGGTAGAGTTCGTCACGGTCACGCTAGCTGGGGATTCGTCTGTAAAAACTTGCATTTATGGTCACAGTGGTGCTAATGCTAACCTTCCTATGGTGTAGAAATATACCTAGTTTGATGAATCTTATTGTGGCTAGCTGGCCCAGTGGCTAACGTGACGGTCTGGAGCTTTGAGACTCTCTGATCGCGGGTTCTATCCCCGCATGTGGTATGGTTTCACAGATGTTTTCCATCACTTTGGCAGCCTGGATGAGGTCTTTTTTTATTCTAACTTTTTTTTGTTATTCACTCAATTACAGATGTCCTTTCGCATACTATTACATTACTTTTTAACAAGTCACTAGAAACTAGCACTTTCCCGACACTACTCAAGACAGCAAGGGTTACACCAATACATAAAGGTTGTGACCCTACAGACGTAAACAACTATAGGCCAATATCAAACTTACCATTGCTATCCAAAATCTTCGAGAAATTCGTGCACAGGAGACTATATTCATTTATAACGTCACAAAACATACTCAACCCCTGCCAATTTGGATTCAGGAAAAATAAAAGCACTAATGATGCAATTATAAAAATGCTAGACCAGCTTTACACAGCATTGGAAAATAAGGAATATCCGCTAGGAATTTTTATTGACCTAAGAAAAGCGTTTGACACAGTAGACCACGGCATCCTACTCCACAAACTTGACCGCTATGGTATAAGAGGCCATGCGCTTGCATATTTTAAATCCTACCTTTCTAATAGGTATCAGTATGTCACCATTAAAGACACAGCCTCATCAATATGGCCACTTGATACTGGAGTTCCGCAGGGAAGTGTCCTTGGACCCCTGCTCTTCCTCATTTGCATCAATGATCTTCCAAACATATCCCAACCCCTGAAACCCATTCTCTTTGCTGACGACACGACTTATGTCATCTCCCACCCTAATCTTGCCACCCTCAACACCATTGTTAACGTGGAGCTGCTCAAAATATCGACTTGGATGACAGCCTTGATGAAATGTTTTCTTTTTTATTTAGATTGGTTATTAGGGGCTGTGAGAGACCAACCACTGGTTTGCCTATTTTGTGTGTTTCTCTTACATGTGCAGATTCATGTTGTATGTAAGTGGTGTTTTGAAGCATCACTTACTGTATTAACACTTCACTGTGTTTATAACTGCCATAACAGATGAGTCACTAAGTTGCTGTTGCTCCTTCACATCTGGATGATGCTTCTGCTTATTTCTTACCTAGATTTTCAAATTGTGTTTGAAAATTCCTCTGAAGATGTGTTATGAGTTCCTTAGCAGTCTGAGCAGCTTTATCTTCAGAGTTTTTTTGATGACTCAGCATGGTTTCCAGTTCTTTCATTGTGTTTGGTTACCTAGTAGATCTTCTGTAGTTACTTTACAGTGATGATATTGCATCTTCTTTATTTTTGTTAACATCTAGAGGATCTTCATTTGTTCAGTTAAATCCCCTAAAATTTGTGGATTTTGATTCATTCTGTGTCAGTATAGATGCAGCATTGGTGGGGCTTGGAGGTGCAAGTATACTTTGGTTGTTCTTTGATCCGTTCTACCTCCAGTCATATTGTTTGAGTGTAGTAGATATATTATGTTTATTAGGCTTGAATTAGAAAGCTGCCAGCAGCTCTCACACCCACATAGCTGTCACAAGAAACCAACTTAAGGAAGTGGATCATAGTGATTGACGTAGAAGCCACAGTTCAGTAGAAAGTTTTTTACATTAGGGCTCCTCATATACTGTGGGTTAGGTTCCTGACTGGAAAAGTGGAACATAGCCTTTTATAATTTTATAATATAAAAATAATATATTTATTTCTACAAGGTATACAGGCCTAGCTAGAAAGCCGCTTGTTATGCAGAGTATTTCGGGCAAATCAGGTCAGTTTTGTCCCAGGATGCGACCCACATCAATTGACTAACACCCAAGTACTTATTTTACTGATGGGGAACATAGACAGCTGGTGTAAAGAAACATGCCCAATGTTTCTACCCTTGCATATAAAAGCCTGATAACAGGTTAACACTCTCAGAGCACAAAAATGCTGTAAACAGTGTATTAACGACAAAATAGTGCTGGATGACCTCTGTTGCAGCTGTTGAGCATGTCAGGCTGAAAAACACTGAAAAGGTGAACAAACGAAGAACATAATGAACAATGGATATTGAAATCCATTGAATTAGCAGAATGCTGAAAAACAGAATACCGTAAAGCGGGGCCCTACTGTAGTTCTTTAAATGTTAGTATTCTGTAGTAGCCTGTTGATCCTTCAAAGGGAAGAGCACTTTTAAGTTCTTAATTCAAGAAATTGGAGCTATCCTTCCCTTCCTTGGATCAAACCTGATCACCACCTATTCCCCAGTTGTTGTATGACCACTTGGAGTTATTCCAGACTCTTATTCATATAACAGTATTTACCTGTATAATCCTTACAGGTTTAGTGCTTCTGTATACTGCACTTACAATAATTGACAGGATACGGCAACATGAATTATGGATATCCACCACCTGGGCAAGCAGACCAGGGAACATCTGACTCTTTTGGAGCGTATACCAGAGGTGTACCAGGTGCTCAGATCTTCCAGGTATGTCCTCATGTTAATTCTCTTTGATTACTTTTATGTTTACAGTTGATCCTGGTATTCATTTGCATCATAATCTGTTTAATTGTGTTATAAAAGGTTTTTAATGAAGGGTGCTTTGCAGATTCCTTTCATTTTTCTTAAGTTTTCCACTTTGATCTTATTACTGAGTTTTTCACTGTGGCTTTGTTAGTGAGTTTTTCATTGTGGCTTCAATAGTTGAATTAGCAGTGAAACACAAGAGAAGCAGGAAATAGGAGACTACCTTCCCAGGCATTTAGACAGTGCTCCTGATGTCACCAGAGGGCTTACACTACTAACAGCTTCCACCAAGATACCAGGTGCAATTAATGCCACAAGAAGGAACATCAGGAAGACCACCGTTATAAAAAAAAAAAAAATGCTGACAGACAGGATCACCAGTTTTTTAGAGATTTGCTCTGGGACAAACCAGCAGGATCTCAGAACTGGTGAATACACTCATATGTCACCCACCTGTCTACTCCTGTCTCAGCTCAGCAGGTAGTTTTGTGCCTTACACTAGACCATAGAGCTACGTCCCAGTGACTGCCCCAGTGTCCTACCTGTCAACTCAAGCTAAACACAATCATAAGGAGCCAGTGTATGAGCATCCTGTCGGCCAGCGTTAGAGGGTTCATTATCAGTGCTGGGGAGCTCACATACAGTTTTGCGAACACTCAACATAACGACATTGATAGCCATTGTTCAGACATTTTTGGATGACAGAACTCCAGAAAATTTTGCTAGAATTCCTGCTTACACCTCATGGATGAGAAGAGACAGGCAAAGACGAGGAGGAGGCATTGTCATGTGCTTTTCTAAAAGTGTACATGCTCAGTTTAGCAGTGTTACCATCCCTAATTACCTGGTAATGTTCTTTAAGCTATGCATAAACACTAGTACCTCTCTACTAGTGTATGCAATGGACAGACCTCAGAGGCAGCGTGCAGACCATCAACGTCCTGATAGAAAATATGGACATCCTTTTGATTCAACATAAATGTCATATTATACAATGGAACCTCAACTTGCGAGTTTAATCCGTTCCGTGACCTAGCGCATAACTCAATTTGCTCGTATATCATATCAATTTTCCTCATTTTAATTAATTGAAATGCTGTTAATCTGTTCCAGTGGAATTTTTGCTCTCAGGAGGCAGGACAAAATAATTCAGTATAATACTAATATTAACTCTTCAGCTTATTTATCCATCACAATTATCTAATATGACATAAAACAATATAAATAACATAGAAACATGATATATACTCTAGAATGAATAAAATATGTCATTATGTGACAAGTGGTGGTTGCCACATCTGCTCTGACCATGTCTTCCCATGCTTCCCCTTCTGAGGTCTTATTATAAGAGAAAATGGAGTGTTTGTGAGGCTTACTGCACTAGATCACTAGTTTCATAAGGAAAACACTGAAACAATCTAATTATAAATAAGAAATATTGTATAAAAACATAATAGAGAATGTAAAAAAATAAACTGATTTTTATAAAGTGTACGTACATGCAGTGGACCCTCGTTTCTCGTAATCATCGGAATTCGTAATTTTCACAAATCGTAACTTTTTTCATCAAAATATTGACTCGCGAATCGTTGTTTGACTCGCAAATAGTTGTTCGTCCCAGACGCGTACGAGCGGCCCCTAGCGGCTCCACACACCATTCACAGTCAGTGTGTCATTGTTTATCAGCGAGTGAACACGATCCCATGCGTTCATACGATACATTTCGTAATATTCCGTTCTTTTTAGTACTTGCAACTGATAAATAACCCATCATGGGCCCAAAGAAAGTTAGTGCCAGCCCTCTGGTAAAGAAGGTGACAAACACAATAGAATTAAAGGAAAAGATTGTAGATAGATACGAAAGTGGTGGTGATACTGATAGTGGTAGAGGGTGATAGTGATGGTGGTAGAGGGTGGTAGTGGTTGTGATGGTGGTAGTGATGATGATAGAGGGTGGTAGTGGTTGTGTTGGTGGTAGAAGGTGGTAGTGGTTGTGATGGTGGTAGAGGGAGGTAGTGGTTGTGATGGTGGTAGTGATGATGGTAGAGGGTGGTAGTGGTTGTGATGGTGGTGGAAATAAATGGTATGAAATACCGACACAATGGAAATATAAACACATATGCAGTATAATGTGATCCTTTATTGACAGTGTTTTGCCCACACAGTGGGCTTTATCAAGTCACAAACAGATCTACCTGGGGTGGAAGGTATGCAGGTATTTATAGTCAGGTTCAGAATGCTGGGTCAGGTGGAGAATGCTGCATGTGATGATCTACTGAGTGGTGTTTTAGAGTCTAAAATCTTGGGTAGCTTGGAAGGTAGTTTGGATAAGTATGTGAGTAGACCTTCTGCAGTGTTCCTCCATTCCTTTGTTCTTATGTGGGATAGCGATGAAGAAGTTTCTTGCCAAGTGGTTCAGCTATGTTATAGAAGCCATTGTTCTGGTTGAAGTTGTTGGATATAGAGATAAGTGATGATTCCAGGGTTCTTCGGTATTGAGTGTTGTCTTCTCGGGCGATAAGTCTTGAGTTTCTGTAATTCACACAACCATTTAATAAACTACAGAAACTCAAGACTTATCGCCAGAGAAGACAACACTCAATACCGAAGAATCCTGAAATCATCGCAGCATTCTCCACCTGACCCAGCATTCTGAACCTGACTATAAATACTCGTGTATCTTCCACCCCAGGTAGATCTGTTTGTGACTTGAAAAAGCTCACTGTGTGGGCAAAACGTTGTCAATAAAGGATCACATTATACTGAATATGTGTTTACATTTCCTGTGATGGTGGTAGAGGGTGGTAGTAGTTGTGATGGTGGTAGAGGGTGGTAGTAGTTGTGATGGTGGTAGAGGGTGGTAGTTGTGATGGTGGTAGAGGGTGATAGTGGTTGTGATGGTGGTAGAGGGTGGTAGTGGTTGTGATGGTGGTAGAGGGTGGTAGTGGTTGTGATGGTGGTAGTGATGGAGATTTGTGCAATGTGGAGTAGGATGGAAAGTTTTATGGAGGAACATCACCCTAACAAAGCTGTTGCAAGCCTTGTTGGCAACATGTACAATGATAATGTCTTGTCCCATTTTAGGGAAATTTTAAAACAGAGCTCTTTGGACATTATTTAGTGCCACAGGTATGCAGTGCTTGTCCTAGTGACATTAAAAAACAAAGAAGGGAAGTAACTCTGGAAAAGGACTTGGTACCTGAAATCTTTATGGAAGGGGATTTCCCTTCCAAACAGTAATTCCTCCATCCTCTCCCCTCCTCCCGTCTTCCATACACTAAGAAGAATCTTCAATAAAGGTAAGTGTTATGTTATTATTGTTTTATTCTTCATGTCTCATTGTTTTCTGTGTATGTACATCTATATTTCATGTAAAAAAATTATTTTGTTTTAATACTTTTGGGTGTCTACATTATTTCTTATGGAGAAAATGGTTTTGCAAATCGTCAATTTCACCATTAGTCACACTCTCTGGAATGGATTAATTACGAAAAACGAGGGTCAACTATTTACCTTGGAGAGATGTTGGCGGAGGTTGAGGGTGGAAAAGATAAACAGAGTGGCATATGCTTTCAGTGGCCCTATAAACCCCAACAAGACAACAACAACAACATCATTGGAGGAGTTTCTTTTGTTTCATCCTCTTTCTATTGCTTAACCCTTTCAGGGTCGGTAGGCCCTCTCCCAAACTTGTTCTCAGGGTCGGAAATTTTTCGAAAAAAAAAAATTCTTATGGAATGATAGAGAATCTTTTCCCAATCATAATGACACCAAAAGTATGAAATTTGATGGAAAACTTACGGAATTATGCTCTCGCGAAGCTAGCAATCTGGATGATGTTTACGCATCGGTGATTTCGCCCATTTTGAGCCCTATTTTCGGCCAATTCCAATGTACCAGTCGACAAAAATCATAACTATTTTGCTAGAACTCCATTTTTTCTATCGAATGAGTACAAGAAACCACCCATTTACCAATTTCAACTATCCAATAAAGTGGTCAGAAATTGGCAATTTTGCCAATTTCACACAAATTTCAAAAGATGCCACTTTCTAAATAGGGTCCAGAATAAACAAGACAGACATTCCTGGCACTACAATAACATTTCCTCTGTTCATTAGTCATGTCCCCAGGCCCCTGTTATATTTCTTTTGCTTTCCACTTTGAATTTTTAACTCTCACAAAAAATAGAAGATTTCCTGTTATGCAGACTACTGCATTACTGTAGAAATGGTATAAATAATATCAGCGCACTTGTGAAAGAATATTAGACTCACCAGTTGACGTGTATTGAACGCATGGCATGTCTTGTTTACTTTTGAACTTTGGCAAAAATTGAACATTTCTGATAATTTGAGCTCAATTTCAAGGTACTTTTCATTGTGAAACCAATCAAATTCATCTCAATTTCCATAATATGCCTTCCATTCTATAAAATGAGACCAGGAAAACTGGAATACAACCATAAATAGCATACGAAAATACACTGCAAAGTCGCTGTTTTAAACCAAAAACACTGTCGGAGTTTTTTTTTTTCCTATTATGCACTGTGTGCTGCAGGATTTCTTTTTATGCTGTGCACACTGACCACATAGACCAATTCTTTCACATGTAGGCCTACCAGCTTTCTCTCACTAGATTTGAAGGTGCTAGAATTTATGCGTACTAGTATGGCACCAACCCTGGCGAGCAAGCCGTACTAGTACAGCACCAACCCTGAAATGGTTAATTGCTTAACTTACTTGCTACACTCTTAATCGATGAAGTTAACTGCTACAATTATTGTAACGCCGTTGGTTGGCGCTATATACTTTATCGACTCCTTCGTAGAAGTACTATGCTGGTATTGTCTGGCCAAGTCCACAACCCGCACACCTCGCTTGTGTTTATCTATGATTTCATGTTTTAATTCCATGGATATCATCCTCTTTCTTCTCAGCACTGTTCTTTGCATATACTTT